GTTGTATGTGTTTTTGTCTTTTTTCCTGAAAACTTCCAAAATATTGAAAATAAAATCAGTCTTTTCTTCTTAAAAAAAAAGAAAGAAAAATGATTGTGGGAAGTGACTATATCTCCATTTGTTGCAGGCAGCCATCTTGTGACTCTGAAGAAGTATCCTGAAGACAAAGCTAACATATACAAAAGAGGGCAGCACTGAGATAATCAGAACCAAAACCCTGATTAAACTGTGCCTAGGCCAGGCTCAGTGGCTCAGCCTGTAATCCCATCACTTTGGGAGGCCAACACAAATGGATTGCCAAAGAACCAGAAATATTGAACTCTAGTTCAATACATGCTGAAGGGTTCAAGGGGATGTATACGTCTGTCGTTTGGAAATGCATTAAAAATGGGTCGATAGTTCACCTTCTCAGGCCTTCTCTTTCCCATGGGAATACATCATAATGCCAGCACTCACCAATGAATGTGGTAAGAGAGATACAATACCCATTCTATATTTTTCTTGTCAAGAGTTCAGCAGCCTCCTCTATATTCCATTTCATTTTGTCATACATAACCTTTCAGGAATATCTCCCCAAATGGATAGATATGTGTGATAAAGTGCAGTAAAACGGTAACTGTAGAATCTGGGTGGTGGATATATGGATGTTGACAGTATAACTACTTTTGACTTTCTGAATGTTTGAAAATGTTCATAGTAAAATGTTAGAGAAAAACTAAGGGCTGTAGGTTAACATCTCTGGTATTTTCACAGCCACTGCCCTGGTTTAGACCTCATTACATCTTAACTGGAATCTTGCCACCACCTTCATGCTGGCCTTCACACTAGCCCACTGCAGTCTTTCCCCACCCCAATAATCACCAGAGAGAACATTCTGAAACCTCAGACCTCCATGATCCAGTCCCTGCCAACCTTCAGCTTCATCTCTGACACTTGCCACCTTACTGCTGCCTGTACTCCAGCTCACCTCAGGGGCTTGTAGGTTCACTCACACATTAGACTACTTTATGACGTTCTACTTTTGCTTATGCTGTCCTCTTTGCTTGGAATGCTCTATTCTGCCTTCCCTTGCCCAGTGAATGCCCTTTAAAACCCAACTCAGGTATTACTTCTTCCCAGAAGCCTTCCCTGCTCCTCAGACTGAGTTGGATCTCCTTTCATGCTCTTGGTAGTACCCTGATCTTATTTGTAACATAGTATTTATCCCAGTATGCTCTGTGTGGGTTTCAATGTCTGTGTACTAAAATACATGCTTCTTGAAGATCAAGCCCTCCAATGGCACATACAGGGCCTGACCCAGAAGAGGCTTTGATAAACCACTGCAGAACTGATTGATATTGAACTGGCATGGATGACATTCTGGCACCTTCCAATAGCACTGTGTTATAGACTTGGTTGTATCTCCTCTACAGGAGTTTAAGGGCCATCACCCCTATTGACCTAGCCATCTCTCTCTCTTTTTTTTTAATCACCCAAGAATACAAGAACTCTCCCTATGCCTTTCTAACACCACCTTCCTCATGAAGCCAACTCAATTTCCTTCCCGTTTGAAACAATCTCTCCAATTCCTTTAAAGGCTTACTTTCTCTGTACTACTTTGTGAGATTATAGGCTTTGTTTGGGCAAATTTTGATTGGGAAAAATTAAACTACTTTCACTGATCACCTAAGTGCTAGACATTGAATGACCCTATGAATTAGGGATTACATCTTCATTTTATAGATGACAAGATGGAGACAAGGAAATATGAAGCAACCAGTTCAAGATCACATAGGTGGCAGAGCTGGAATTGAATCACTGGTCTTCTCAACTCCCAGGTACATCCTCTTTCCACCACAGTTCATTATCTCCAGGTTGGGACAGGTTCTGAAAAGGCTTGTGACCCAGAAGGTGTAATAAGCAGTGAGAAGTCATAGAATGTTCTTAAGCAGGAAGGGATGATGAAAATAGAACTCTGGGGAGATACTCTTGAAAGGTTGTGTATGACAGAATAAAATGGGATGTAGAGGCTATTGGACTCCTGACAAGGAAAATATAAAATAGGTATTGTATCACTCTTACCACATTCGTTGATGAGTGCTGACATTATGTTATGTTCCTATGGAAAAAGAGAAGGCCTGAGGAGAACTATTTTGAGAGTTAAAAAGTCAAAAAAGGATAAAAGAGGTCCATCTTCTGTTTCTTGGGTTGTGTGACTGATCCCATAGTCTACCTCCTGGAAGTGTCCTGGGATTTCTGTCTTTTACGGGATGTAGGAGTTCAGGAAAAGGTCAGAGTTGACTGGACAGCCAGGTAAGTTTCCTTAAGAAGTGGCATTCGATGAGACGGATGAGATGGTGCCCTCCCCATCTCTCCTGCATTAACTTCACTAGCCTCCCTGGCTTCTGGTTCCCGCTTCCTAACCCAACCCCAAAAGGATACGTTTGAAAAGCAAGTTGGACTATGTCATTTTCTGCTTAAAACCTGAGATGGTTCTCTGTCTTAGGATAAAGTCAGGTCTTTACATATTACACATTACATATCCATCATTATCTGGGGCTTTAAAATAAGTATTATGTCTAAAAACTAATTATGATCATATGCCTTCTCAAACTACATATTCCATCTTCAAGATTCTGTATGACTCCTTGGGTGAAAAATCAGAGCTGCAGGTATACTAAATTGCTTGCCGTTATCTATACGTTCACCCCAACACCATATTTTTCCTCAAGCTATTGCCTTGGTTTGGAATACTCCTCACACTGCTGCCTGACTGGCTGATTACTTTTCATCCTTTAGCTTAGGCATTACTGGCAGGAAGTCTTCCCTGAATTCCCTGCTTCCCTAGGACAGATTCCCTGCTCAATGGCATGCACTTTTCTATCAACGCATTACACCACATGATACTCTTCTCCATTCAACTTACTGGAGGCCAAGTGCCATTTCAGTCAACTTGGTGTGAATTGGATTCTGATGGAGGTGCCTATGTAGTTGAGGCAGGGAATACAACATGAACAAGCAGAAATGGGGATCTGTACTGAGGACAAGTTAGGGCTAGAGGATTCAGCATCTATAAAGTTTAGGGACAACCAAGCTTCTAGAGGGCTTCATAGTTAATTCCATCTGGCAAACATAAAAACTGGGATCCAGACAAGCAATTTCTCCTAAATTATGTGGCTAATCATTGAGGATGGCTCTTAATGACACTCTTCTACTCCATACTGAAAAGAGGAAAGACTGAAGTTAGGTGCCTTTCTTCCTTCTCAGTTTTGAGACAGGAGCTTCTGATCTGCTGGAACTTCCTGCCTGGATGGAGGAATAAGGTGACCAAGACTCCAGTTTATCCTCTAACTCGAGGCTGGTGATAGTGCTTTGTCCCTTCACTAAGTAGGGTGGGGACTGATGACAAAAATAACCCAGCCCATAATTGCTGCAAAAACTCTGAAATCCCTCCACTGTCATGTTTCCTTTCTACCAGGAGATAAGTTCTCCACACTCCAGACATGAACTTCTTTCTATCCAAACCCCATCTAATACTGAGACTCAGATTGTTAGAACTGGAAAAGGTCATCAAGTCAGTAGGTGCCAAACCCAGGCAGCTTCACTCCAGACCCACAGAAGAATCTCCAGGAAGAAATCTTGATTGGGTTCAAAATTCTCTTATAGGTGACCCACAGACAGTAAACAGCCTGCCCTGGATCAGAGTGAGTCAGGGTGGTGGTGAATCTGGAATGAGGTTCCCAACATCACCCTGGGGGAACCCCTCAGGACACAGCTTTCAATGTTGTACCCTGCACACATTAGGGGCTCAATAAATATCTCTTGGGTGATCAAGCCTCAAAAGGTTTTCTATTTTCTAATACAGTGAAGGGGGAAGAACATGAGTTTTTTGTTTGTTTTTTTGAGTCAGAGTCTCACTCCTTTGCCCAGGCTGGAATGCAGTGGCACGCATGCTCACAGACACCCCAGGATCGACCTTCTGAGCCACAGTGATCCTTCTGCCTTAGCTTCCCGAGTATCCAGAACTACAGATGTGTGCTACCACGCTCGGCTATTTTTTATTTTATTGTAGAAATGAGGTCTCGTCAAGTTGCCCGGGCTGGTCTCAAACCCGTGAGTTCAGGGAATCCTCTCTCCTCGGCCTCCCAAAGTGCTGGGGTTACAGGCTGAGCCACTGAGCCCGGCCATGAGTTTTGAAATCAGGCAGATCCTGCTGTGGAAGACCACTGGCAAGCTTCAGTCTCCTAATTGTAAAATACAGTGAATTACCTCATGGTGTTGTCAGTAAGGATTAAATGAGATAGCCTAAGGAAAATATCTAGCCCAATGCCTGGCACCCAAAAGGCACTTAATAAATGGTAGTGGTTCAGTAAGAGGTGGTAGAACAGAGTGATAATAATATAGATTCTGGGGCTAGGTTGGTCCCAGAAAACTTACTATATGTGTGATGCAGGAAGCTTACTTTGTTTCATTATCAGTAGGATGAGAATGTTGGTGGTGATGAAATGAGTCAATATATATAAAGCACCAAGAGCAGTGCCTGGCACAAGTAAACAAGTGTGATGCATTAGCTCTGGTAATTATATTCTTCTATCCCTTGCACAGGACCGAAGCACAGCACTCAAGTCCAGACTGTACCACAAGTGCTTGGAAGAGATGCCAGAGAGAGAGGAAAAAAAATTCCCACTTTTACAGAAAGAGGACAAGTTAAGCCAGTTAAAAAGAGCCCACGGAAAGCCTTTCCACTGCAGTTGTCAGGTTTCTTTGAATTGTTGCACCCTTCCTTTTCTGCTCACTCTACTTCTGGATATCTGCTTCAGGTGTGTGAAACGTGTCCCTCCTGAGGGCAGGGATCCTGCCCCCTTTCCACCTCGAGTGGAAGGCTGGAAACCAGGGAAGTGCCCATTGACAACTTGCCGAGGGAGACAAAAAGAGTACAAGAAGGCAGCACTCCTGAACCCCACACCATACCACACCACCACCACCACCACCACACAAAACAAGAATGCCAAGCAAAGCAATTGCCAAGATAAATCACTTTTATCTCTATAGGAAAGGGAGGATCTAAAAAAAATATAAATTACATTAGTAACACAACATAAGAAAAAAACAGGAGAAAAAAACAACAGAGAAATCTGGATGATGCTACTCTAACCTATTTATAAAAAGGCCCTGCATCAGAAATTCACAATCCTACCCACTTCTAAAAATATATTTAGACATGTACAGAAGCGGTGGGCTTGTTTTTAAATTGTTTGCTTTTTTTGTAAAAATATATTAAAGGTGAATAGAAATCCTCTTTCTCTGCCCCCTATCCAATCCCCAGCTATCTGCTAGGGATTGGAGATCAGAGGTAACTATCTCACCATGTTCTAAACCTTGGTTACTACCACTTCCAACCCCTCCCCAACTCACTTCACTTAGAACCTGAAACATTAAAAAAACAAAAACAAAAATTAGCCTCTTTGGAAAAGCATAACTCTGAGGGTAAACTTGCTTTTCATTGGAAACAACACAAAACAACAAACAAGAGGTTCCAAGAACCCAACTAAACTAAATGAAACCCAGTCGAATGGAGGCTGGGTTTCAGCGCCACAGAAACTTCTAACAACCAAAAAAAAAAAAGAAGGGAAAGAAGTCGGAATCAGAGGGGTCTGCTAGCAATTAGCTGCCTTTGAAAGATCAAGAGGGGACAAAAGGGCTGGGGACCTAGTCTTGGTTACAGCAGTCAATGCCTAGTCAGGCAATTGCCTACACAGGGACAGAGGCCTCTCCTGCCCCCCTTCATTATCCTCTGTTGCCTTGAAATCCCCCAAATAAGCAAAGCTGGGTAGAAAGAGGGGAGGGGAATAGGGACCTCACATGCTAGGGGGGAGGTAGCCAGGCTTTTTGCCTTTGGTGTGACTAGATGGAGAACTGCTTGGCCCCTGGGGTCCCCAAGGTAGAAAAAGCAAATGGGCTAAAGGAACCCCTGATTCCAAGGAATAAGAGTAGAGGTGGGACTATTGAGAAAAGAAAGACAAACTGGGGACACAAAGACGACAAAGGAAGCCTCAAATTCCCTGTGGCCTGCATGGTAGCTGTTAAATTCCCCAGAAGCACTGGGCAACCTGGGGTGAGGTTGGAGTGGGTGGTAACAGGGTAAGGATACATCCACTTGGGCAGTGCCAAATGGAGGAGGGGTGTTCTCCATCAAGTCCAGATTGCCAGTGAGGCAAAACAGATAGGAGGTGGGGGCACTGTCTGGACAATGGAGACAATCCACAAAGAAAAGCAAGGGGAAGGGAGGATCGAATGGTCTGCTCCTTCACAGATGAACACCTCTTCTCTTCTCCTCAGCTCTGGCTTGTGAGTGGCCCATCTGCACTCTGCTTCATCGGTGACCTGTCGTCTGGAAGTGCAAAGGCCAAGGAGTGAAGATGTGAATTCTGAAGTCTTCTTCAGACCAAGACCTCAGGTGAAGAAAGAAGCATGGAAGTTCCTGATGGAGGACCCAGGGGTGGGCTATCCGGCCACACCCTCTCCAGAAGGTCCATGCTGTGCTCTGCGGTATAGGCGGCAGACTGTTGGGCCAGGGTTAGCTGATTCAGTGGCAGGTACTTTCAGGTTTCTGGGAGGTTTTTCACCTGCTGGGACCCAGCCACAGCCACGTGAATAATGTTCTACAGGACCTCAAAATCCAGGCAAATCCCTGGAGCTCACCCTGAAACAAGGGGCTTCATGTGTAGCCAGCCAAAAGTAACTTCCTCCAATGGGCTGGGCTGCAAAGTCATGGTCAAAGGCTTGGGCATCTGTCCTCTCCTCACCTTGAAAAGTGACAGGAATTTCCTTTCTTCCAAAGAATAAGTAAAGTCAGCATTTCTAGGCCACCTCTGGAAATAGCCCACAGTGGGGCAGTGAGGAGACTCTAGGCCCTCCTCTTTATTTCCATGAACCATTTGCCAAGAGGGGGCAGAGACCACAGCCTTCTCCCAGGAACAAGTCTGGACGTGGGGCACGTCCACTGAACTGGGAGGAAAGAAGGGGAAAGAAGAATGGGCATAGGTGGGTAGGCTTCTGGAGACAGGACTAAAGTTGCAGAAAGTGTTGAGCACTGGGCCTCCCACTTCATGCCAGAAAAAAAGCGATGGGCTCAGGCTCTCTTCATGCCTCTCCTCATCCTGCCTTCCAGGTCTAGGAGGGGACAAGAGTAAAGGACAGATATGGCAGGTGAAAAGGAAATGGGCTGGAGAAATAAAAAAGAGAATTCTAGTCAGCTGGAAACTTCTTATTTACCTGCTACCCAGAGGTATGGAGAAGGAAGGCAGGATGCTCTAGTGAAAGTGGGGGAGGGAGCTGGGGGAGTCAGTGGAGGGTCCTTTGGGGGAGTCCTTGCCTTTGGTAAGTCCCAAGGAAGCAGGACAATGGGCCTCAGCACCCTGTCCGGGGCAGATAGGATCCAGGAGTGCCCCGATAATTGACAATGGAGAAGGCAATGGGGGTGAAGGGATGAAGGTTGGGACACAAGAGGGATCACAGAAGAAGTTTGCCGTTTCTGTGTATTTTCAGGATACGGCCGAGTCTCTGCTTTGCTGTGGCCAGGCCCTTTTTGGGACGCTTTCCTGTGGGCAAAGAGAAAAGTAAGCCAGGGCTATAGCAAAGTTTTCAGAAGCATCAACTCGACACCAACTGCCCTCAGACCACCTTCCCTTCCCCTGTTTCTATATCCATTAAAATCTTCCCATCCTTAGGCCATATTGGGCGAGAAACCCTCCTTAACTACTTCTGTCCAAGGCCACATGCCTTGGAACTTCCTCCTATGACTTCTTGCAGCAGTTACAGACTTCCTGGCTATAGTTTGTCTGGTTCTTTTTCCCATTGATTTATTTGGTCCCAATCATTTTCCTTCCAAAATTCTGCAGGGAGGTGAATGTGCTTCTACACCCTCTTTTTTTTTTCTTTTTTGAGTTGGAGTCTCACTCTGTCGCCGAGACTGGAGTGCAGTGACATGTTCCCAGCCACTCAGCCTTGACCTGCTGGACTCCGGCAATCCTTCCATCTCAGTCTTCCAAGCAGCCAGAACTACAGGCATGTGCTACCACACCTGGCTAAGTTTTGCTTTATTGTAGAGACAAGGTCTCGCCAAGTTGCCTGGGCGGGCCTTGAACCCGCAGGCTCAGGCAATCCACTCGCCTCGGCCTCCCACAGTGCTGGGATTACAGGCTGAGACGCCGAATCCAGCCTCTATACCCTCTTATTCAGCCCACCAGGATTAGGCAAGTGCCTCATTAGTGATTATAGCTCAGTGTCCCTGAAACTGCTATACCTAGGGCCTTGTTTCATTAGAAACTCCCATGCTCATCAACCTTCAACATCACATCAACCTCAGTACCCTTGAGCTGTGTACTCTAGGGACTGGGTTTTGAGGGCCAAAGTTGAGGGAAAGGAGAGCTTGAGTACCCTAGCTCCCTCTTGCCTCTTTTTCTCACCCCATACAAAATCACCTTCCTTGTCCTGTTTGCCTCCATATTTGATCTGTTTATCCTCTCCCTCTCCATTCTATCTGACAGAGTCCCTCTTCATTACTGCCTGAACTTGTTGTATGGGTCTCCTCCCTAGAGTTCTCACCTCTAGCCCACCCTCCACTCTAGCCACCAGAGTGATCTTTCTAAACTCAAACCTGATCTCTACTTAAAATCAGTCAGTGTTTTTCCATGGCCCATAGGATCAAGTCCAAGTACCTAAAGTGGGCCTTCAGTGTCCTTCCCTGGTATTCTCATCTGCTAAAATCCCTCAGTTCTACAACCATATGACTATTGTACCTTGTCCTGCCTGACTGCTCTGAGAGCCAACTGAAGGGCGCCGCTGGGTCAAGAAGACGCCGGGAGCCATGGGTGTGGTGCTGCGGTTTGCCTGGGCCATGCCAAAGGCATTGGGACGAGCAGTATACTCATGGTCAGCAAGACTTCCTGATAGGGCCTCTTGTTTAGGCTCAGGAGGAGGCAGGGGTGAGGAGGAGGTGAGAAGCTGTGGTGTAGCAGGTGGAGTTGGGGCTGGTATTGTCACACTGAGATTGGAGTCTTGAGGACGAGGCTGTTCTATCTCCTTCAGCAAAGGCTTCTTCTTGATGTATTTCTTCTTTTGGGCCTTCTGCATCTCCTGAAACACAAGCCAAGTGGGAAGAAAGATTCAGAAGTGGAGAAAAGAGGAAAATTTCCCAGAAAAGGAACTAGACAATGGTCAACATGGGTTTGCAACCCACCATCCTCCCCCTGTCCCCATCAAGTCTAGCCTGGATGTACACACAACATACAGACCTTCTAAAACCTGAAGTCATGTCTTTGGTAACGTCCATCCTTAAGTCACCACTGCCACTTATTAGAACAGTGGCAAGAGAACTGTGAGTTTGGAGACTAGGGTTTTGGTCCTAGTGTTGCCACTAATGAGGTTTACCATGGACACCTCTAAATAATAACCAAATGTACACCAGAAGCTGAAGTACTTTATTTTATCTCATTGAAGACTCATAAAAGCCTTAAAAAGGAAAAGCTCTTATTTTACAAATGAGAAAACTGGGGTACAGGGATATTAACCCTTTGCACCCAGATGGCCCCTCTGAAGGGACATTGTAAATCTAACAAACCACTCAGATGTCCCCTCCCAGGGGATATAAAGAGATTGCTGGTGCTTATACAGGACAAACAGATGCAAGTGCAAATTTTTCAAAAATGTGTTTCCTTGAAATTTTCCATTCAAAAATAATGAAAAAACCTATGTCCCACTTATCAAGCTTCTGATCGATCAGTTGAGAAGCGGTTTCCAGGAATCACAAGTACACCCTTCCACATCGTCTTCGAACAACAGACCAGATAATAAATGACATATTATTAATGCGGGAGGAAGAAAATGAGACTGCACTGTCTGCTTGAATAGAAAAACACCAGGTGGAAGGCATCCAACAAATTACTATTGCACAACATGTAACAATGGACCTGCAATGCATGTAAATGTTATACATGTTACCACACGTTAGAAAAATATGTTATAAAATTTTGATTTTTGGTCATAAATAAGTTCCTCAATGTCTAAAATCCCATTATAAGTCATATATCATTACAACAAAATAACTGGTTCCAATGTTATACTATTTAATATGAAGTGATTTATTTTTCACTACTTCATAAAAAAATAGTCAAGTTGCTGGTAGGTGATCCATGAGATGTCTCTGCGTGCAAAGGGTTAAGTAACTTGAGCCCAAAGCCTCATAGCTAAAAAGTAGTTGGGTCCAGTATTTAACCAGGTTTGTCTGAAGACACACCCTGCAAACTCAAAATGAAACATCTGAGAGTAGAAAGATCATTAGCTTCAGAATGAGATAAACTGGGTTCAGACCCAGTTTTATGCTCCCTAAAATGAATGACTATGGTCAAAGTCATTTCTGAACTTGGCTGCCTCATGTGTAAAATACTATCAGCTTTTTCAGGTCATTAGAAAGATTAAATAATATAGAAATACACAGCACAGGGTAGGTTACTCAACAAGGTAAATTATTATTCTATCTTCATCTCTTATAATGGCTTATTTTCCTGTTGCTGGTCTTTTTAACAGAGAACTTGACTATCCTCCAGGTCACCAGGTCTAAAAACCTCAATTTTGGATGGGAGGGACAAATAAGAAGTTGTGTCACTCCTCCCAATACCTTGTATGGCATCCATCCATTGCTCTATAGACTATCCACTGCATAGTAGGTACCTGTATAATGGGCATCTAGAGCCCTGAGAACCTGGAAAAGTAGTGCTGAGAGCATGTGAACGACTTCACCTTCTGAAATGCTACACAGTCACACAGACCAACTCAGTGATTACACTTCTTTGCTTTCTCTTGGAAACACGAGCCTACTCTTGCCTTCAGAAGATCTGACAGGCTATGGCTACCACAGAAATTTCTGGAGGATAAGAATGATAATATTAGTAATATATGCCAGGTACTCTGCTATAATTGCTTATTTAATACTCTTAAGAACTCAAGAAATGAGAATTATAATTCCATTTTAAGGAAAAAACTGTGGCACAAAATGGCTAATAAGTCAATTTCCCAAGGTTACAGGATCAATAAATGGCCAAGCTGGGATTCAGATCCAAGTCATTTGGCTTCAGAATCTCTTCCCTTGGTCACACTGCTATTCCACCCATATCAGGAACTGCATTTCTGTCCCTTTTTCTCTCATCTGACTCCAGAAATTCTCTCTTCATATCTAGATCACTTAGCCTAAGTTCTCCTACGTTTGCTATCAATCTAAGTAACATATAATTTATCCAGATACCCCAGCAGATGACTAAATCATCTTAGAACCACTTTTACCTTGCCAGTTCCCTTGCTCAAAAAGCTGATAGCAGGTCCCTACCCAAGTTCAAACTCCTTGGTCTGACATTCATGGTTTTCCATAATCTGACTGCTTATATCTAGCCAACCTATAATGATAATGATGAAAAGCTAGGCCAGGTGTGGTGGCTCATGCCTATAATCCCAGCACTTTGGGAGGCCAAGGCGAGAGGATTACCTGAGCCCACGGGTTGGAGACCAGACTGGGCAACTACAATAAATCAAAAAATTAGTTGGGCATGGTGACGCATACCTGTAGTTCCAGGTACTTGGAAGGCTGAGGAAGAAGAATCACCTGAGCCCAGTAGGTCCAGGCTGTGGTGGCTGTGAGTGTACCACTGCACTCCAGCCTGAGCCACAGAGTGAGATTCTGACTAAAAAAAAAAAAAGAAAAGCTAACATGCCTATGGTACTTTACTCTGTACCAAGCGCTGCTCTAAGAGCTTATATATATACATTCCCTCATTTAATCCTAAAATGAAATCTAAGGAAACTGAGGCAAAGAAAAATTAAGTAACTTGCCCAAGTGGTAGAGCTAAAATTCAAACCCAGGCAGGCTGGTTCCAGAATCCATTCTTTTAACCATTACTTATTTTATCCCATTCCTCAACACTCCAATCTAGAAAGATCTAATCATTCATTCACTTACCCCAACACTGACTAAACACATGTACTTACCATAGTTGGGATATCAGGTTAAATTAAATATATTCCCTCTGTTGAAAGTATTTACAGTACTACTTAATTTTATTTTTTGAGTCAGGGTTTCACTCTGTTGCCCAGGCTGGAGGGCAGTAGTATGGTCACAGCTCACCATAGCCTCCACCTCCTAGGCTCAGGTGATCCTTCTGCCTCAGTCTCTCAAGTACCTAGAACTACAGATGTGCACCACCATGCCCAGTTAAGTTTTTAAATTTTAATTGTTTTAGTTGGAGTCTCACTCTGTCACCCAGGATGGAGTGCAGTGGTACAATCACAACTCACCACAAGCTCAACCTGCTGGGCTCAGGTGATCTTTCCACCTCAGCCTCAGATGGGATTATAGGCACATGCCAGCACATCTATCTAATTTTTAAAAATTTTTTTTGGAAAAATGAGGTCTTACTATGTTGCCTAGGCTGTTCTCGAACTCCTGGGCTCAAGCAATCCTCCTGTCTCAGTCTCCCAAGGTGCTAGGATTACAAGCATGAACCACTGCTCCCGGCCTATAGTTTAATAAGGGACACAGAAAAGTACACTTATGATCCTAAGTACCATGAGAGAATGCTATGGAGGCATAGAAAAAGCATACTGAAATAAAGTGGTGGTAGGTGGTGTGAAGGGTTATTAGGTAAGGCATCTGAGAGAGTATGATTCCCAACAGGAAGAAGGAATAGCTTGTGCAAAGTCACAAAGGCATGAGCTAATCTGAGACACTAAGAGAACTAGGAGTAGTGCAGTATGGCTGGTGTAAAGGGTGTGCATGAAGGGCTAGCAGGAGGTCAGGTAGAAGAGACACTAGAGGCCAAATCAAGAAGGCCTTGTGTGCTGTACCAAAGAGTACCTTTCTCCTAGGATGCCTTCCTGTCCACTACCAAAAGCTTAGCCTGCAAAAGCCCTCCTCCAATTTCAAAACCTCTTCTTCAAGGAAATCCCTGATCAACCCAAACAGAACAGAGCTCCTTAAAAGGCCCTAAAAGTAGTTTCCACATCTTTAATTAATTTATCTGTTTATTTAAAGCAGTAGAACTCTTTTTTTTTTTTTTTAATTATATGTTTCATGGCACTGGGATATATATAACAGAGAGATGTTCTGGTCAAAGAAAGACCCTCTGGCCTCTTGGTCTCTGTTGGCTCCCAACAATAGCCTCTAAGACATTTCTAAGTAACTCTAGAACTCCACAGAACATCATATGAAAAACATCATTCTATTAAATTTTATTTAAATAGGATGTAATTACTGAATTAATGAACATTTAACTATTTTATTTAAATAGAAAGTAACATAAAATTTGAGGTGAGAGGACATGTATTTGAATCTTGTCTCCGTTTATTGGCTATATTATCCTGGGCTAGTCACTTAAGGAGAATCTCATCACTGGGCTCGGTGGGTCAGCCTGTAATATCAGCGCTTTGGGAGGCTGAGGTGAGTGGATTGCCTGAGCCCGCGGGTTCGAGACCCACCTCGGCAACTTGGCGAGACCTCATCTCTACAATAAATCAAAAATTAGCTGGGCATGGTAGCGCACGCCTGTAGTTCCAGCTACTTGGAAGGCTGAGGTGGAAGGATCGCCAGAGCCCAGCAGGTCGAGGCTGCAGTGGCTGGGAGCAGCCACTGCACTCCAGTCTAGGTGACAGAGTGAGACTCCAACTCAAAAAAAAAAAAAAAAATCTCATTTTCTTCACCTGTAAAATGATGAAAATATCACCTGTTGAACAGGTGTATTGGGCAAATTACATTATCTCTTCTTTGAGGTAATCCCTGATCAACCCAAACAGAATTGAGCTTCTTAAAAGGCACTAAGAGTAGTTTGTACACCTTTAATTAATTTATGTTTATTTAAAGCATTAGAACCCTTTTTAATCAAATTACATCTTACATGGCACTGGGATATACATAAAAGAGATAAATTCCGGTCAAAGAAGGACCATCTAGCCTGCTTGGTCTCTGCTGGTTCCCAACAATAGCCTCTGAGACATTGTATATGGAAGCACCTAATATAAAACAGATGTTCAATAGCATTCCAAGCTGTAGGATGTGGCATAAGGAGCTAAGAGAATGCTAATAAGGAAAGAATCAGAAAATTCAACTCCAAATGCTCCTAGGTTGCTAAGTATATTACATACAGTAAAGAACTTTGTGTCGGGCATGGTAGCTCACATCTGTAATACCAGCACTTTGGGAGGCAAAGGCAAGAGGATCTCCTGAGCCCACAGGTTCAAGACCAGCCTGGAGAATATGGTGAGACCTTGTCTCTACAATAAATCAAAAAATTAGCTAGGCGTGGTGGTACATGCCTATAGTTCCAGCTACTTGAAAGGCTGAGGTGGAAGGATGGCCTGAGCACGCCACTGCACTACAGCCTGGGCAACAGAATGAGACTCCAACTCAAAAAGAACTTTGTAAACTGTAATACTAGGAGGTGGACTTGATTCTGGTAAAAATGATCCTTTAGGACAAAAAATAATGGAGAAGTTTTCTTGAAAAGCAGCGGGTGAAGATCAAGGTAATTGTATTTCGTAAAGGGGACAAGAAAAATCTCTCTCTAAAAGAAAAAATTCCAATACTGATGGGTGGCTGAGAACTTGAGTGTAATCAGCAGAGTTAGGATTTCATCGGGGCAAAGGATGGATCTGGTCCTTTCTTTCTGAGAGGTTTTTACACACCAAGAAAGCCAAGTGATAACTGTAAGGGTTTTTCTCTAGCTTCATATTTTTCTTTAATCTTAGTCATGTGAACTGTGTAAGCTGTGGAAGTAGCTTGTCATTCAGTTGGGATGCAAAGGATATAGGAGGAGGCTGGGACATCACCAAGGATAAATATCAAAGGTCACCCAGTCCACACAGAGACAATGATGTGATCCCATCCACCTAAGTGTTGAGGCTCTAAGTCAAATTGCAATCAGTTGCAAGGCCATTGTCTGGCATATCAGCACATACCTGCTGGGCCAGCTTTGCAGCAGCTGCAGCCAAGCCTGTCTCAATGGAAGCTACCCGGGTCCCCTCACGCACAGGACGGTCCTGCTTCGGTAAAGTTGGGGTCACACGGGCTGCAAGGAAAACAGGATGAGAAGGTGTCACTCTAAGATATTTATCTGAATGCCAACCATATTCCCCACCTCCAAGCTCCCCAAAGGTGGTTTAATTGGTCTTCCTGCTTCTAGTTTTTTACAAAACCAGATTTTACTTCCCATCATGTAAGAAGCTAATTCACAAATGCCCAAAGCACATACTGATTAAAGGATAAAAGTTAACCTCCCTGAATTGGCATTCACGATTGTCTATGTTCTGCTCCTGCTCTCCCTCCCTACCTCCCCAACCTTATCTCCACATCCATATTCTCAGCTTCTCCTGACAGATGGCTTCCTCATTACACCTCCACACTATGTACAGCTCATTCTCTCTCCCTGTGCCTTAATCCTTACCATCCACACAGTCTAGAGTACCAGCTTCCTTTTCATCTGCCTACTGAAAACTTGCCCATTCTTCAAAGGTAAGCTGTAATCAATCTCCCATGCAAAACCTATAAGACCTCTCAGGTCCCACTGATCTCTTATTCCTCTGAACTTATGACCTATACATATTACCTGATGCATTGATGTGTGTTATTATGTCTATTAACCTGGCTATGAGTTCCTGCAAAAGATCATCTTCTTGTATAACTCTTTATGGTGCCGTACCGATCTTGAAACAAAAAATACCCATCCAACCTTTTCGAAAAGAAGTATATTTTAGTATAACCAAACAGCCCCAGATGAGAGACAGTTCTTTACAGAAGAGTGCCGGCTACTAAATGTAGAATGAATGACAGAATTAGAAAATCACAAGTTTGCAAGTCCCAATGAAACAATTAATTCTAGGGAACTGGATATCCACACATCAACAAAGTATTACCTCACAGATTACTTGCTAGTCTCAAGAAGAAAAACCTTATAATGATAAGAATATCACTACCTTAACTATGTATTAACTTTAGTGTATCTAAGAATGAGATGGCATGACTTCATGTGATTCCTGATGTGATGTAATAGGAAATTCACAGCATCACCTGAGAAGTAGTTTTGTCAAAGAGCTAAAATTAAGCAAGCCATTCATATTACTTGCAGTACTTAGGAAACACAGATATAGAAAAACAAGTTAAATGATACCATGGGAAAACAACCACTCTATAAGATAACTGGCTTAGTCTCCTGCAAAAGACAATGTTATAAGGAAGCAAATAGACAAATCTAGAAGGCGGGACATGGTACAAGACAATTATACCAGTTTCTACAACAAATCAGCATAAAACAAAAAAAGGGGAGACTGTTCTAGATTAAGAGACTTAAAAGGCAAGACAAGCTGGGCGCAGTGGCTCATGCCTGTAATCCTAGCACTTTGGGAGGTGGAGCTGAGAGGATTGCCTGAGCCCACGGGTTTGAGACCAGCCTGGGCTACATGGGGAGACCTTGTCTCTACAATAAATAAAAAATTAGCTGGGCATGGTGGCACGTGTCTGTCGTTCCAGCTACTTGGAAGGCTGAGGAAGAAGGATCACCCAGCCTAGCAGGTCGAGGCTGTGGTGGCCATGAGCATGCCACTGTACTCCAGCCTGGACGACAGAGTGACTCTGACTCAAAAAAAAGGCAAGATAGTCAAATATACACGTGGACCCTGTTTACATCCTCATTCAAACAAATCCATTTTAAAAATACCTTTTTATGATTTGACAGTTTAGGAAATTTGATTATGAACTTGGAATTAGATAACACTAGAGAATTGCTGAATTATCATTAATTCTGTTATGTACGATAACAGGATTACAGTTATGTAAGAAAATGTCCATTTTTAAAGAAATGCATACTGAAATACATGGGGGGAATGACATAATATCTGGGGTTTGCTTTAAAGCAAAGAAAAAAATTTTTAAAAGAAGGGACAGATGAAGCAAGCATGGCAAAATCTTGATAACCATTCATTCTTATTGGTAGATATATGGAAGTTCACTATATTATTCTATTTAAAGAAAAAGCTGGCTAGGCATGGTAGCCCAGCACTTTGGGAAGTAGAGGCGAGAGGATTGCTTGAGTCCAGGATTTTGAGACCAGTCTGGGCAACTTGATGAGACCGCGTCTCTACATTAAATCAAAAAATTAGCCAGGCATGGTGGTGTGCACCTGTGGTTCCAGTTACTTGGAAGGCTAAGGTGGAAGGATTGCCTGAGCCCAGCAGGTTGAGGCTGTGTTGGCCGTAAGCATGCCACTGTACTCCAGCCTGGGCGACAGAGTGAGATTCCAACTCAAAAAAAAAAAAAAAAACAAAGAAAGAAAGAAAAAAGAAAAAGCCAGTGTCACAGAAAAAAAGGTGTGGTGTGATGGTGACCTAGATTTAAACTCCTTGGTTAGTTAACTATTGTTATTATAAAAAAGAATTTATGAATAAGCAGTATGCAGATTCTAGAACAGGCAACTCAGAAGGCTGAACATCTTTCTTTAAAGGTAACATTTTATTTGTTTAAAACATGATTCAAAGCAAATCTAGCAAAACTGTTTATGCATAATTTTGGGTCATGGATATTTGGATATTTTTTATATTTTTCTTTATAGTTTTGTACATGTGGTGGTTTTAAAACATGGCCCCAAATTCTTTAACACCTTTCTTACTGATAGGTGAGGTCTCTTGAATCTGAGCAGGCTCATTCGTAACCTAAGAATATGGGAAAAGTGATACTGTGTGACTTCTGAGACTAGGTCAGAAAAGGCAATTTGTTTCTGTATTGCTTGCTGGACCTAACACTCATACTTGGAGACCTGAGCCACCATGTAAAAAGTCTGATTGCCTTGAGGCCACCAGGCAGTAAGGAAACTAGTCACATGGAGAGGCAACGTGTTGGCGCTTTCTGCCTTTGAGTCCTCCTAGGCCAGGCACCAGATATGGAGGTGAATGAGTCTTCAGTTGATTCAAACTCTTGGCCACCAAGTCACCCCCAGCCTTCAAAATTTTTCCATCTGAAAGCCCAGACATTATAGAGACAAGCTATCCCTGCTGTGCCCTCCCCAAATTCCTGGCCCATACATTACATGAACATGAGAAAATGGTGGTTGTTTTAAGCTGGAAAAAAAAAAAAAACCCCAACAAAAGAACCTCCTTGATTGGACCTGGGTTTTGGTGTGGGGAGTGGGGGAGCATAGCTATAGAAGACATTTTGAGGGAACAGCAGGAAAATTCAGTTATGAACTGGGTATTAGAAGATCTTAGGGAATTATTATTAACTTCATTAAGTATAAAAAACTGTGGTAACATGGGGGGGTGTCATTATTCTTAGGAGATATTGAAGTAGTAAAGGTTAAAATATGTTATTAAGATAGCTGCACATTACTTTGAAGTGGTTTAGCAAAAACTATAGACAGCCAGATAGATATAGACAGATGAATGAAGCACCTACAGCAAAATGTTACAATTATAGAATCTAGGTATTAAGAATATGAGTGGTCATGCGCTGTCCTTCTACTTTTATGTATGTTTGAAAATTGCCATAATAAAAATTTTAAGTAATGAAGAAGACTAAGAAATTATAATAACCAAATGCAACGTGTAGTCCTTGAAAGAATCCCGGTTTGAATAAACCAATTACAAAAGATATTTTTGGCACAACCTGGGGAAATTAGAGTAAGTACTTGGTATTAGATATTAAGAAGTAAATGTGGCTGGGCACAGTAGCTCACACCTGTAATCCCAGCGCTGAGACAGGAGGGTTGCTTGAGCCCAGGATTTTGAGACCAGCCTGGGCAACATAGCGAGACCTCATTCCTACAAAAAAGAAGAAAATTAGCTGGGCATCGTATTATGTGCCTGTAGTCCCAGCTACTCAGGAGGCCTGAGACAGGAGGATCGCCTGAACCCATGAGGTTGAGGTTGCAGTGAGCTGTGATCATGCCACTACACTCCAGCCTGCGTGACAGAGTGAGACCCTGACTCAAAAAAATAAAGAAAAAAGAAAAAGAAAAAGAAAAAAATGTTACTTTGCTTAAGTGTCATATAATGGTACTATGGTTATAGGAGACAATGTCATTTTTTTAACAGATGCATACTTAAGTATTTAAGATGAGATAACAGCCAGGCATGGTGGCTCATGCATGTAAATTCCAGCACTTTGGGAGGCGGAGGTGAGAGGACTGCCTGAGCCCATGGGTTCGAGACCAGCCTGGGCAACATGGTGAGACCTTGTCTCTCCAATAACTCAAAATATTAACTGGGTGTGGTGGTATGCACCTGTAGTTCTAGTGACTTGAAAGGCTGAGGCAGAAGGATTGCCTGAAGTTCAGCAGGTCAAGGCTGCAGTGGTAGTGAGTGTGCCACTGTACTACAGCCCGGTTGACAGAATGAGACTCTGACTCAAAACCAAAACAAAAAAAGGTGAGCTGTCATAATGGGTGACATCAGTAAAAATGGCAGAATAAGGACCTCCAAAAATTCATTCCTTGATATAAAGCAATGAAAAAACAAGCAAAGATTGCCAGGATAAATTTTTTTCAGAATTCTGGAACCAAAGGTTTATAGCAACCCAGAGAATATTTATTCAAGAAAAATGGCTGAATCTCAATAAGAAAAATGACCTTTGTGGTATTTTAACTTGCCTTAGCCCCTGGGAACCTTGAAAAATAACAGTCCACATTCCCAGTAATATAGTGAGCAGAAAGGAGTTGGAGCTTTCTTTTATATATATATATTTAATTTTTTGTAGAGACAGGGTCTCGCTATGTTGTCCAGGTTGGTCTTGAACTCCTAGGCTCAAGTGATCCACCTCCCAAAGTGCTAAGATTACAGGTATGAGGCACCACACCCGGCTGGAACTTTCTTTCAAAGCCTAGTGCTGAAAGCCTCTCCCTACCTGTGGGGAATTTACAAAAAATGTTTAAAAATAAATGTTTAATGTCCTAGTTGCTTAAGGTGATGGATAACAGTTGTGGCAAAAACACAGATTAACCCAAATGGTTAAAACAAGCAGAGGAATGAGATGTCCATAAAGGATCTGAAAAGTTTTCACACATTTCTTGGAATCTAGATGGCCACATGCATGTGCTGCAGCTGTGCCTAAGACTTGAGAAAGCCCTAAGCACCCACCTCTGAATGACTTTGAAGTGCTGTATAAGTAAAGCCTGAAGGCTAAGACAGAGTTGTAAATTGCCTGGCTGAATGTTGAAGGTATGCCTTACAACATGCACACAGAGCCCATCAGCAAGCACTGGGAGATTCATGGCTCTAGGAATTTAAGGAAGTCTCTGTCTTTTCAGGAACTTAAGGACATTATTAAATGTCTACTAGGCTAAATGAGTAGAGACATCAGTAGCCACATACAGGGAGTATACAGACTTTACAGAATTAGTTCAGAAAAGTCACTAAACAAAAAACTACAACAGCAACAATAAACCCTGAGGAGCAGAGTGGGGAAAATCAAATTTCCAGAGTTGCCACAATATTTTAACTGTCCAGTTTTCAATAAAATATTACAAGACATACAAAAAAATAAAGTATAGCCATACACAAGAAAAAAGAAATCAGTAGAAACTGTCTCTGACTTGCTAGACAAAGTTGGACTTCCTAGACAAAGACTTTAAATTAGCTATTTAAAATGCTTTCAAAGGCTAAAGAAGACCATGTCTAAAGAACTACAGAGAATGATGTCTCACCAAATAGAAAATACCAATAGAGACAAATTATAAAAATAAACCAAATAGTTATTTTGGAGTTGAAAAGTAAAAGAACTGAAATGCAAACTTTACTAGAGGGGTTCAACAGCAGATTTGACCAGGCAGAAGGAAGTGACCTTGAAGACAGGTCAACTGAGATTATCCAGTCTGATAAGTAGGAAAAAAAGAAAAGAGAGAACACCAAGTTTATCAACATATGTACATGGAGTCCTGGAAGAACAGAGAAAAGAAGGCAGAAAGACCACTTGAAGAAATAAATAATAGCTAAAAACTTTCCTAATTTGACATTCAAGAGCTCAACAAACACCAAGTTGGACAAACTCAAAGAGGTCACACATCATAACCAAAACCAAAGACAAATACAGAATCTTGAAAGCAGCAAGACAGAAGCAACTCACAACATACAAGGGATTCTCAATAAGACTGACAGCTTATTTATATCACTATGGAAACTATGGAGGTTAGAAGGTAGTGGGATGATATATTCAAAGTGCTCAAAGAAAAACACTATAAACCAAGAATTCTAAATCCAGCAAAACTATCCTTCAAAACAGAAGAAATCAAGAGATTCCTAGACAGAGTTGTCATTAGTAGACCTACCCTATAAGAAATGCTAAAAGGAGAACTTCCGGTTGAAATGAAGGGGCACTGTATAGTAAACTGAATGCACATGAAGAAATAGAGGCTGGGCTTGGTGACTCAGCTTGTAATCCCAGCACTTTGGGAGGCCGAGGCAAGTGGATTGCCTGAGCCCATGGGTCAGAGACCAGCCTGGGCAACTTGGTGAAACCTCGTCTCTATAATAACTCAAAAATTAGCTGGGCATGGTAGTGCATTCCTGTAGTTCAGGCTACTTGGAAGGCTGAGGCGGAGGGATTGCCAGAGCTCAGCAGGTCGATGCTGGGGTGGCCATGAGTGTGCCACTGCCCTCCAGCCTGGATGACGGAGTGAGACTCCAACTCAAAAAAGAAAAAAATGCTTAAAAAATACAGGGGTTGTTGGGCATAGCTGGTATTCCAGCCTGGGACTGCTCACTCTCAACCATGTATCATTCTCCCTTTCCTGTTTACTAACAAAAACCCTGATTTGTAGAACAGCAATATGCCTAAATATAAACTAACTTCGTGGCCTCTCTGACAAATAGTCTTGGCTGTGTGACACTATTTCAGAGATTTTTTTAAAAGTGGAACTTATAAACTCTTTGGGGAGAGAGGGTACTCGGCAGGCCTGTTCCTTTTTGTTTTTGGTTTTCTCCTTCTTCCTGACTGCAACCCAGACCCTAATGCTGGAGGTGAAGTAGCTATCGAGGGAATAAGCACTCACTAAGGATGCCTGAGAGGTTACTCATAGGCAAACACTATTACTAATTGATATGTTCAACACCTGCAAGAGTTTCATAAACAAACAGTACACATGGCTGGTAGAAGTGTAAATTGGTACAACCTTTCTAGAAAACACTTTGACAATATTTATCAAGACCTTTTAAAACATTAACATCAATAAACAGTGTTGGCAAGGGTGTAGGGAAACAGGCACTCTCATGCATTGCTTATGAGAGTGTAAACAATCTCTAAGATGCATTATTATGTGAGAAAAGCAAAGTATAAAACAGTGTATGAAATATGCTTCCAACTGAGTAAAACTAAGAGGAGGAAAGACAATATATACATGCATTTGCTTATATATGCATTAACTATCTTTGAAAGGATAAATAAGAAACTGCTAACACTGTCTGATTCCAGGTAGGGAACTGGAAGGTTGTGGAACAGGGGTAGGAGGGAGACTTTTCATTGTATAGCCTCATCTACTTTGGCCTTTCCAAGGTTTCATGGAGATCCATCCTAAATAAATAACCAGAGATACAAATATTTACACATGAAGATGTTCATTCCAAATGTAATCACTAATTGTGATAACTTGGCAGTAGCCTAAATGTTCCACATTAAAGGAGAAATTAGGTAAATTAAGTGGAATAGATATTTTGTAGCCATTAAAAATATTATTTATAAACTATTATTATAGGAACACGCTTATGATATAATATCAATTTAAAAGGCCAGATATATTTATTAGTTTTCAATTTTTACAGTCAATGTTTAGTCAATATAGAACATTAATCACAAGATACTGTATATGTTAACAACCTTGATAGCATAAACAAAAAAGTATGGTTCATAGAATGCTGGAAGAGGGTAGAAAAAGTAGGGGCACTAATATCCATATCTTACAAAGTTGGGTAATCAAGAGAGATGAACTAAAAGTTGAAGAAAGGAGAAATAAGATTTGATAAATGAAGAAATGGTGGTATAAACTCTATTATCTTGAATTCTAGAGGTATCTACTACCAGGAAATGAAAACTATGAGGTGATTGGAAGTAGCAGGAAACTGCCGGGAGGGAGGTGGGGAAGTAGGATTAGCAGTAGTGGGAATCTGCGTGGGGAAGAGGGGGGGACACCTCATCAACCAAGGGTACCTGCATAATGAACATTTGTATACCTAACCCTGAATTGTACCCCACATCTTTAAAATAAAAAAAATTAAAAGTTAAAAAAAAAGAGAAAACTATGAGGCTGCCTCTCAAGCATGGGAATGAAAGTAGGGAATGTAGAGGCAGAAAACACTGCTTTTCATCCTAAATTTCTCTATACGATTTGATGTGCTACACATACTACTTTGATTAAAAGGTCCCTCCAAATTTTAAAGTAGTGTATATGATTGTATACACAGTATGATTTCAACAATAAAAAGAAAAAATGTATTGGGAAAAAAACGAGAAGAAAACACGTCAAAATGTTAATAGTAGTTGCTTCTGGGTGGCAGAATTATGGGTGATTTCTTCTTCATAATTCCTTCTATTTTTCAATATTTTCCAAATTTTCTAGTGCACTAATGAGAAAATTTTACTTTGACAGAAGAAAATAAAATCAGAAAATAGGCCTGAATTAAAAAAAAAAAAATTAGCTGATTGACTCACTAAGAGAACACTTCCCAGGAATGCCCTGCTGCCCTACTCTCCCATCCTCAAGCAAACCCCAGAAAGGCTAAATAAAGTTGGATGAGAAGAGCAGGCCCTTTATCTCCTGGGGAACCACAGGTACTGAGATTCCAATGCCCTCTACAGCAGACTGTTGCAGTGATGGCCCTCAGTTTGCTGACACCTCCTTGTATGTATGACCCTTTATAATGTGGCTTTGCAGCTCTCCTCTCAAGAGGTACAATCTGTTGTTTCTTCACCCATGGGATCAGGGTTTGGCCATGTTAACTTGCTTTAGCCAATTGAAAAATAGCAAACATGACACAAGCAAAGGCTTGACAAGTGGTTGCACATTGGGGTGTGTCTTCTCTTGCTGCTAGAAACCCTTCTGCCACTATGTGAACAGGCTTGGGATGACCTCCTGGTAGATGAAAGACCATGGGAGAGAGGCCCTAGCCATCTAAGCCAGGTCCCAGATATCTGAGGGAGATCTTTTGAGACCATACAGCCCCAGTCAAGCTGACCCAGACTACAAGAATAGCTCAGCCAACCTACAGAATCATGAGAAATGATAAACTATTGTTTTAAGTCACTAAGGTTTGAGTAGTTTGTTAAGCAACAACAGCTAAGTGATACACCCTCAATGTGAAAACTATCCAGTCAATTAGATAAAGAAAATTATTTTATCACCCTCTAAATTCCATGTTAACTCAATCTTCCTTCCTCCCTCCCTCCCTCCCTCCCTCCAAGATGGCCTCTTAGTACAGGTGATAGTCCTGGACCTTGTAGAGCTCAACAGTCAACAGAATTTTTCTCCTTGACAATAAAATTCCCGGAGGGCTGGGATGATGGTATAACAATGTTCTCAGAAGCCCTACATACTGCTTGCTGAAATCTGCTCAAGGTCTTGCTCCTTTCATCTCAAGCCAAATAATATCAAAAGCAACATGTTCCATTACTGCTGATTTTGCTGGACTGATTATATAAACTATAGAGTCTTATTAATCATTTTCACTCTAGCACCTAACATGGTGCCTAGCACACAGCAGACACTCAACAAATGAGTGACTCAATCAGGTATTCTGATATTAAATATCCCTCTTACTTCCAGTCTATTTTTTTCCCTGATCACTTTTATAGAGTTTAAGGGACAGTATGTTAAATCACCTTTAGGGCTCCATGGAGCATCATCTGAATTCTTCTTTTTCTTGGGTCGAGATTTCAAAGCGGGGTCATCATCATCAGACTCCAGGGATGGATAGACTGGAGAAGGGAGAGGAGAAAACAGTGTAAATTTAGATTTCATCCAAAAGCATGAAGACAGAATGATACCTACTCCAGCTCCTCCCACTCCCCTATAAGTGTAACCTTCACTTAATCCATATTCAGCTGCAAGAGTCCCTGAATGTGCCACATAAATTTCATGCCTTTCTACTTTGCACCCTTGCTACAAATATCCTTCTCCCTGAATTCACCTAATTCACCCAACGTTTAATAAGTCCATGAGTTACCTTACTTATCCTTCAAAATTCAGCTTTTGATTCACTTCCTACAAGAAGTCTGCCCTCACTCTCCTAATCTGATTCAATTGCCTTTTTCAACATCCCATAGCATCCTGTACATACCTCTACTGGAGTTGTTATATACTATTTAAGAGCTGATTAGTAAATATGTTGCCGCAAATTTACCATGAAGGAAGGAATATGTACTATTTAATTTCATATTAACCCTTTGCACTTGGAGACATCTTGCAGATCACCTACCAGTCACTCAACTATACTTTTTTACAAAATAGTGAAAAACGAATCACTTCATATTAAATAGTACAGCACTGGAACCCATAATTTTATTGTAATGATATTTGGCTTATAATGGAATTTTAGACATCGAGGAATTTATTTATGGCTAAAAGAATCAACATTTTATATCTTATATTTTTCTAATGTGTGAAACAGTCACTGACTTGCATTGCAGGTTCATTGATAAATGTTGTGCATAGTAATTCTTCTGACATCTTCCACCTGATGTTTTTCTACTCCAGCAGACAATGCAGTCTCATTTTCTTCCTCCCGCATTAATAATATGTAATTTATTGTCCAGTCTGTTGTTTGAAGACAATGTGGAAGGCCATACTCGTGATTCCTGAAAACCACTTCTCAACTGATTGATCAGAAGCGTGACAAACTTCAAATGGGACATAGGTTTTTCATTGTTTTTGAATAGAATACTTCAAGGACATACACTTTTGAAAAATTTGCACTTGCATAGGTTTGTCCTATATAATCACCAGCAATCTCTTTATGTCCCTGAGAGAGGACCTTTGAATGGTTTGCTAGATTTACGGTGTCCCCCCAGAGGAGACATCTGAGTACAAAGGGTTAAGGGAGTCTACAAACACAATGAAGAGTAAGTGTTCAGTAACTGTTTACTGTATAAATGAAAAATAAATAGTAAACACTTAATTCACACAAAGGGAACAAAAAGACCAACTAGGCTGAAATGGGACCAAGATTACTAGAACTTCATGATATGAATGGCAAAGCATACATATACAAGTGCTCCATATAACAGAAACACATACAAATACATAGTTTTATCACACTCTCATCCCAGTCCACATGCAACACACATATAGGATTTAACGGGAAGATGGTCTAAAACAGTCCTACTGATGAAGTAAAACTCTTATTGCTGTTAAACTTAGAAGAAAAGCAAAGTAAGAGAGTGAAAACTCCCTCCTCATGACCCCAATCCCACTCCTCCCAATGACTAGCTTCAAATTTCTCTAGAATTCCACTTTATCAAAGGAATCCAGCCTCCTACATCTTTCCGGAAGGGCTTCTTTGTCAAAAAATGAGTCTATTCAACTTTTCCTCCTTGAGTAAAGAGTGAAAAACTCCTGCCTCCTGACTTCTTAAAGAACTTTCATAGCCGGGCTTGGAGGCTCAGCCTGTAATCGCACGCTTTGGGAAGATTGAGGTGAGTGGATTGCCTGATTGCCTGAGGTGAGTGGATTGCCACGGGTCTCCGTGGGCTCGAGACCCGTCTGGGCAACCTGGTGAGACCTCATCTCTACAATAAATCAAAAAAATTAGCCGGGCGTGGTAGCGCACAGCTGTAGTTCCAGTTACTTGGAAGACTGAGGCAGAGAGATCACCGGAACCCAGCAGGTCGAGGCTGTGGTGGCCAGGAGTGTGCCACTGCACTCCAGTCTGGGAGACTGAGTGAGACTCCAACTCAAAAAAAAGAACTTTCAGTTAAGAAAGAGGGATCAAGCCGGGCTCGGTGGCTCAACCTGTAATCCAGCGCCTTTGGGAGGCTGAGGTGAGTGGATTGCCTGAGCCCACGGGTTCGAGACCCGCCTGGGCAGGCAAGACCTCATCTCTACAATAAAATCAAAAAATTAGCCAGGCGTGGTAGCGAGCGCCTATAATTCCGGCTACTCGGAAGGCTGAGGCGGAAGGATCACCGGAGCCCAGCAGGTCGAGGCTACGGTGGTCGGGAGCGGACACTGCACTCCAGTCTGGGCGAAAGAGTGAGACTCCAACTCAAAAAAAAAAAAAAAAAAAAAAAGAGGGATCATTGATTATCCTTAGAAAGACATGACTATTGGTGGTTAAAAAAAAAAAATGTTGTTTGAGGAAGGTCCTAACCCTACTAATCCCAATAGCTGTCAATGCTATTTCACTGGGTTGAAAGGTTTTATCACCTCAAGGAAAGAAGTGTGACAAGGAAGAAAGATTTAGAGCCTCAGGGTCAGATAATTACTTAAAAATCCTCAGCCATTGTCTTTGACTTTGAAATCATGGACTAACTGAGTAGTGACTGAGGAGAATTTCTCTTAAGTCTCAGTATCTTCAACCATAAAATTGAAATAGAAACTACCTGCCTCGTAAAGTTGTGAGAATTAAGAGATAATACGTGCAAAGTAACTTACAAAAGGTTCACGTCTTATTCAAGAAGGGATAAAATGTAGATAATGAACACTGAAAGACATGTTTATATCTGCATATTAAAATATTATTTCAAAGCAATGCTACAAAGGAATAGTAATTAACACAGTGTGACAGTAGCTCATGATAGATATATAGAGCAATGGAATAGAACAGAGCACCCAAAAATAAACTCTCACATATGTGGCCAAATGACTTTTAACAAAGATACCAAGACTACACAATGGTGGAAAGGGCAGTCTCTTCAGCAAATGATAGTTGGAAAGTTAGATGGCTGCACGCAAAAGAATAAAGTTGGATCCTCATTTTACATAACAGACACACATTAAGACCTAAGTGTGAGACCCAAAACTATGAACACCTAGAAGAAGACATAGGGAAAAGTTTCAGAAGACTGAATTTGGTAATGATTTACCAAAAGCACAGGCAACAAAATAAAAATAGACAAATGGAATTATAACAAAGTTAAAAAATGTGTGTATCAAAGGAAACAACAGAGTGAAAGGGCAACCTACTGAATGGGAAAAAATAACTGCAAATCACACACAGATACCTCTCGATTTACGATGAGGTTACATCCTGACAAACTTATCATAAATTGAAAACATCATGCTGGGCACGGTGGTTCACACCTGTAATCCCATCACTTTGGGAGGTTGAGACAAGAGGACTGCCTAACCCCAGGGTTTGAGACCAGCCTGGGCAACATGGGGAGACCTTGTCTCTACAATAAATCAAAAAGTTAGCCAGGTATGGTGGCGCACGCCTGTAGTTCCAGCTACTTGGAAGGCTGAAGTGGAAGGATCGCCTGAACCCAGCAGGTCGAGGGTGCAGTGGCTGTGAGTGTACCACTGCATTCCAGCCTGGGTGACAGAGTGAGACTCCAACTCAAAAAAAAAAAAAAGAAAAGAAAACATCATAAGATGAAAGTTATATTTTCAATTTATGATAGGTTTATCCAGACATAGCCCCATTGTAAGTCTATGAGCATACTGAAGATGTATCACTTTCACACCATCATAAAGTCAAAAGAATAAGTTGGCCAGGCTCGGTGGCTTAGCCTGTAACCCCGCACCTTTGGGAGGCTAAGGTGAGTGGATTGCCTGAGTCCGCGGGTTCGAGACCCGCCTGAGCAACTTGGCGAGACCTCATCTCTACAATAAATCAAAAATTAGCTGGGCGTGGTAGCGTGTGCCTGTAGTTCCAGCTACTTGGAAGGCTGAGGCAGAAGGATCGCTGGAGCCCAGCAGGTCGAGGCTGCGGTGGCCGGGAGCGGCCACTGCACTCCAGTCTGGGCGACAGAGTGAGACTCCAACTCAAAAAAAAAAAAAGAATAAGTTGAACCATCATAGGTCAAGGACCAACAATATAGATAAGGGGTTAATATGCAGAACATATAAGGAACTTCTACAACTCAATAACAACAACAAAAAACAAATAACCCAAACAAAAAATGGGCAAAGGATATGAATAGATAGATATTTTTCTAAAGAAGATATACAAATGGCCAAAGGGCATAGTAAAAGATGCTCAACATCACTAAACATTACGGAAATGCAAATAAACCACAATGAGCTATCACTTCATACCCATCAGTGTGGCTACTATCAAAAGAAAATAACAAGTGTAGGCAAGGATACAGAGAAGTTAGAAACCTTATACACTGTTTGTGGTCATGTAAAATGGTATATAGCCCATTAAGAAAAACAGCATGAAGGGTCCTCAAAAAACTAAAAATAGAATTACTATATGATCCAGCAATCCTACTTATTTCTGGGTATAGGATTCAAAGCAAGATCTCAAAGAGATAATTTCACACCCATATTCATTGCAGCATTATTCAAAATAGCCAAGAGGTAGAAGCAACCCAAATGTCCAACAGGTAAATAGATTTTTTTAAATGTGGTGTGTACATACAATGGAATGTATGCAGCCTTAAGAAAGGAAATCCTGTCACATTCTACAACATGGATTAACCTTGCGGAAATTATGCTTTAAAAAAAAAAGGCCAGTAATGAAAGAACAAATACTATATGATTCCATTCATATGAAATATTCAGCATCTTCACCCATAGTCAAAATCAAAGAAACAGAAAATAGAAAGGCGATGACCAATTGTTGGGGGAAGGAATTAGTGTCTACTGGGTACAGAGTTTCAGTGTTGGAAGATGAAAAAGTTCTAGAGATCTGTTGCACAACAATGTGATTATCCCCCCCCCTTTTTAAAGTAGAAGTCTCACTCTGTTGCCCAGGTTGGAGTGCAGTGGCACATTCACAGCCACCGCAGCCTCGACCTGCTGGGCTCAGGTG